CATCAGTGAAATGAAGTTAAATGAACAGAAGTGACTTACCTTTATTAATGTCAGCGCCGTGTTCGCACAACAAGATCATTTTCTGGGCACCGAAAGCTGAGGCCCAATTTAACAGAGTCTGGCCGACGTCGTCCATAAGATTTACTACGAAACCGCCACTGTAACACCAACACAAAATAGAACAAAATATTATGGACCCCATAACATACGCTCGAATTTAAGGCAGTGATAACTGGCTACAGTGACATTGTAGAACGCATTCGAGACATTGGCGATTTGGCAATGAAAAAATCTAAAAAACATTAATTGATTCAAAATTCAAGATAAAAGCGTAACCGTAAGTCGAGCTGAGCTTATAATGTGACCCAGATGAGCATGCGATCTGCTAAATAAATATATACAAAATGCATTAATACATAATAAAATATGATAAAAATCCGGCCACCTGCTGATAGCGTCTATGAGGCCCCCCCGCTCATGGATTTTCTTGAGTTCCTCCTCCTGCTGAAGTTGGATTTTCTTGAGTTCCTCCTCCCGCTGAAGTTGGTTACGTCGAATCGCCATTTCTCTTTCCAGAAGCCTTTCTTCCTTCTCGAAGAGGGCCTTTTCGGCGTGCGTCTTGGCTCGCTGTTGGCCCAGTATAACTCTGGCTGACGACGTTGTGGAGCTAGCAGCTGAACGAACGCTTCCAGACCGGTGGCTGCCACAGCTAGAGCAAGCATCCGGCTCCCGTTGAGAGGCGAGGAAATCTTCCATTTTCGAACGAAATAAGTCTATTTTAGCACGGTGGGGTCTCAGCCAGTCTTCATCCTCGTCTGATTCACAGGCTTTTAAGAAGGTCTCTAACTGCAACAAATAATCTGTGTACTTCGCACGAATCGAAACATAGTCTATTGGATCCTCAAGTAGCTCTTCTTCTATTAGGTTCTGCTTCCTAGTTACAGCTGCCAGTTTTCCAGACGGATGCGCAGGCATGGCGTCGCTTTTGCAATTGGGTGGAGTGCGCTGCATTATGCTTCTGTTTGACTCAGCTTGATCAGATCTTTCCAGGGTTTCTAGTCGTTTGCAAGTCAGCACAATTTGAAACTGTAAAGAATATGGCTCTTTGTTCGGGGGATTGTTCGGAATGAAAACTCGTTGTGGATTGTAACGGTTTCTGAAAACAAAGAATGAACAATTTGAATACAAATAGAGGTTATTCGAGATTATAAACAATATAGAGAAAATAGCCAAGGTTTAACAAGCAATAAAAGGATCATAACACAAGTAAATGATAACGTACCAAATTGCTGAACAATCTCGGTCAAGTTTGATTCAAAATGAATTTTGTCTGAGCTCATTAACTCTGGTCCTACCTAAAAGGTCCCAACCTTATGTATACGGGAGAAGTATGTGCAGTAAAATTCTTTACATAGGCACTACAAACCAAATTAACCTGTTACTTATCAATTATAACATCCCGAGCGCCACCATATTATCAGTGATGTCAGGATAATCTGATATTCATCGCATAAAACCTGCCGCTGGTAAAATATATGCGATCAACTCACTGCAGTTTTAACACGTTGACTACGATTGCTTCATCTTGTACTGTTATGTAATTTGTTGTACTGTTTTTAAACAGGGTTGCCAGACGGTCATTTTTTCTGGACAAATTCCGTGATTTAGTTTTTCTCAATTGCGTTGGCCAGATAAAATTTATGATAGGAGTACTTCCTAATTAAATTTTAAATACTGCAAAAATAAAATAAATGGAATTTTTTATAGCGGAACCTACAAATAAACTAGCATATATTGAGTTATTTGCCTTTTTTGGCCTTTTTTGTTCTCGGATTTGGCCAATGTTAGACAACCTGAATTATGTACCACTACGTCCTCGAGAATTACATTTCGTGGTACACATATGTACCACTTCGGGATCAACGTGTTAAAGCATAGCTTGCGTGCGGTCTACTGTAATTACGGTTCCATGCACTTATAATAGCTATTCAACTCTGGTGCCAGACAAAGTAAATCTCACTTGGCATTGCAGCCGATGCAATAGAAGAGGCCGTTCTCATCAAAATCAGAGACATAATTATAGTTGAGGCGCGGTGTCACCTTAATTTTCTTGATGTAAGTGAACATTGTTCGGTCGAGATCGTAGCACTGCTTGGCCACCATTTAAGGAGGTATCGCTCCAGCTGCTCCACGTGGCCAACCGTTCCATCTAGAAAACAGAAAGACGTTAACTGAATAAACAAAGAGGATTCTCCGCTAATAAACAAAGAGGATTCTCCGCTAACAAACAAAGAGGATTCTCCGCTAATAAACAAAGAGGATTCTCAATTTACGTTCGGCCCGAGTCCTAGGCGGTTCCTAATTCAGGCTCGCCAGGCTCGCCAAATTTTGATAGGGTAGTCACTATACTCGGCGCAAAATTTTCAAGGTCTGCATGCTTGGCTGCCCGATCGAAATCAGCTTCTGGTCAGAATCTCCTATCCGACCTTATAGTCGCCTGAGAGTATGACAAGGGTTGGCCGAGCAGAGTCAAACCGAGCCAGCAAGCTGCCCTGTGAGACTGCCCTTCCAACCCTGAGCCGAAGCGGAAATAGAGAAGCTGATTTACGTGCTACCCGAGTCCTAGGCGGCCTTAATGCATGGTCGCGCACGCCTTTAAATTTTCTTAGGGATTGTGACCTCATGCTAAACGCTCGCTTGCATTTATCATTATTACTTTGCAAATGAAGATGGCGATGAAGGTTGAGTCGTTATTTTCGTATGAATGATCCTATCTACCGTTATTTTTTTGATCATATATATGAAAGTTATTGAACGTTATTTATATCTGAAGATCTCTGTCACCACGTGAAACGGAATTCACTTACAATCCTGTAAACTTCGCTCCGTATTTTCAATAGTAAATTCTGATTTTAAATTAAATTTTACTGTATAGAGTGTGCAATCATATTACGGTTTTCATATTACAGAGGAGGAAAATGTTTTTTCTACAAATTTTTACCCACGATCTCCGCTGCAGATTTGGCGTAGATTTTAACGATCTCGTTAAATTAGAAATCGAAAACGCTCGCTACTTACAAAAAATATGCCGAATTTAGTAGAATAAAATTAATAATGCATGTTGAATTAACTGAAGACTTTCTATGTTACAATGTTTCGTTATGTATTAACTTTAGCTGCCGATAATACGCAAATGATGTTCTTAATAACATCATTTGCGTATTATCGGCCGCTAAAGTTAATACATAACGAAACATTGTAACATAGAAAGTCGTCAGTTAATTCAACTGACGATTTGAAGTGTTTTTCCCTACTCTGTCGGAAGTTTTAATCCTAGAATGCTTGCAAAATGAAATACCAATTATTTGAATTTTTAGTACAGTGTAGTTTTAGAAGTTTGTCAGAGGAATGAGTTGAAATTAAATATATACACCAGTTAGAGAAAATTTCCCACAAAAATGGAAAGAAAAGCTCCCATAGTTACAGCTTCCTTGCCTGCTCACAGGAAAACGTCTACTTATTATTTTTATAATTTAATCAGATCAGTCTATCTCGATGTTTTTTATTAGTTTCTTCTGTTCAACTCGCCCTGTCGTGTTCTCGACATTACACGGTTTACCATGACAATTTGAATTGATATGAATTTCATATAAATAAATTATCGTTTCTTGACTTGAATTGTGATTTGGAAATCAATTGCAACGAACTGATGGCACTGAAAAATAAATTAATAGGTGAAATCTTACAATCGTCCAGAAATGCATGTATTGGTTATGCTACAAATAGCTGAAGCATTTACTGTCTTGTTTCGTGTCCTGCATGATTGATACACCAGATACACCTTAGATACACCAGATACCCCAGATACCCAAGAAACACTATGCAGATACACCTTAGATATACCAGATACACCAGATGCTCCTCAGCCACAGCAGGTACTAGGACCACATTGTATTCAAAGAAGGTCAACACTCTAAGTTATTTCTGCCGGCCAATTCTTTGTATTTCTCTGTTGCAGCCTTGTTCAAAGTGCGTATTTCATTCAGTTTGAATAATATGTGCGCTTATTTGGAACTTGGGATTTAATGATGATTGCTTAATGGTAGACGTTTTAAGTAAATGATCAAAAAGCCCTATTTTTTCCAATCGTATACCAGCAAATAATATCTTGATTTGATTCATGAAAAAGCATAATAATATGTTTTAATTTGATATCCACCGGACGAACTATCAAATTTGTATTCCCTAGTACCATGAAAAATAGAAGAAAATCGTTTAAAACTTATCCTTTAGAACCTAAACCTGCCAAAAATAAAAGAAAAAAATTCCTTTGAAACTCGCAATTTGCAGTTGGAAAATGTGGTAATTTTTATGTACCTACTACTCCTTAAATTAGATGCGAGGGAGCGTTAGTGCTTCAATTCTAATGCGTGAGCTCTTTTAAATTTCGATTTTTCTCCCTCTCAATGGAGAATTTTAAACGAGACGTTTGTGTCTATGTTACATGATTTGAAACTCATTAACTGAATAACATTCAGCACACATTGCGGTGCATTCGGAGGGAATTTTACTGCAGCCTAAACTTAAATTTTTTCGATCAAAACTCGATTGAACTCGATCATCTTATGACGAATGAAGTTCGATTTGTTAACTCGTTTTTCACCAGTTATATGGGATAAGAACTGACATTAAACTGTGTATTGGTTTATTATTACATAAATGGAAGTTTTTCAATGAAATCAAATTAATTTCACTACATGCTTACATACTTATTTCCCTTTAGCAAAGCAGAATTATTTTATTTAATGCAGGTTTTGCAGATACCAGAAAATTCTGTTGAAAATTTTATTAGTGTTCTTTTCATTTGATCGATTTAGACTTTTTATATGATTTGCAAATTCGTACATTAGGTTTCCAATTGACATTTCATTATAATATTATGAAATTTCGAATAAACATCGGACCTTTTAAATTATAATGACTTTTTCAAGTCTTAAAAATTGAGATTTTGGAACGACATTAGTGCTAACGATTTATTTTAATTGATAAGTTTTATCTAGAAGCAAGATAGTTGCGCGTCGGTTGGTTTCAGCTTCCAGGCAGCCATTACCTCTTATGCATCACTTCTGCAAGGAAATAAAGAATTGATTAATTTGAAGAATAACGATAGCAAAGCAATACGTATAATGATAATGTGTTAGATTAAAGAATAATTTCATCATTTAGATACTTCTTAGCAGTGTCGTTAGTTATCTCGATAACCATTCACCTCATCGTTAGTTAAATTAGCTTCATACAGTTCTCGTTCAACAGTACTACTTTTAGGTACACAGAAAGCTAGCAATTTTGATTTAAATGGTGTTGATTCCTTGAAGAACTTCATTTGTGTGGCCTGGTTGTTTGAGCCCAAATTCAATTCAGAGATGTTGAATAATCCTACTTCCTGTTGACAAATTGAGGTTTTCTTTATGTATTGAAGAAACTAGCATTCGTCATTTTCATGTCAAATTTTGCATTGTTTTAATATCTACTATTCCCTGAGTTTTGAATTGTAAAAAATGTTACAAGATGACGTCATCGCGCCGAAGTAAAGACACTTACTCGTGGAATGCATAGCCGTCTGCAAAACCACCATCTGCACGGACAGGGCCACGGGCGTTGGGTGTCTTGCACTTCTAAAGCTTGTCTGGCGTCCAATGCAGCTTCGTTCAAGAGCCGCTGAAGTGAAGGTAATTCATCCAAAGCTTCTTTTTGTCCGGAAAACTCGTCGGCTGACAACGCCGGAGCTTCTGCTTCGTCCGCGACCACCAGCGGGCTGTCCGCAACTTGGACCGGCTGAGCGAGGACAGTTTCTGCGATGAAGACAGCGATGCACAGAAATGCGAGGATCGACTTGGTCATCTTCATCTCGCAGTGCAGTTGTTGAGGTTCTTTGATGTTCTTCGAGAGCAAGGAACTTGACTGGAACAGGTAGTGGGGCCCTCGGTTGCGTTCTGAGTAGTGCAGAGTCATCGCAGGGCTTATATACTCTCGCCGCGGCCACTCGAGTTTATGACTGTTTTCGACTGAAGATCAAATCGATAGAGTTCAAGGTGTTAAAATTTGTTGCATATTAAATTTAAAACATTTATTGGCAAACACTTGCATGGAAAAGGTATCAAGCAGCTTTGTTATGATCACCCCACATTGATGGAATAACTTGTTTAATTGGATTTGTATGTTTCTTAGCTTATCTGTAAATTTTCCAAACTTGTTCAAATTTATGCCGTGGCGCACACACTGCCGCAGTTTCCGCGGGGCAACCAATACACAAAATCCTTGTGTGATCGCATAGTCTTTGGTAGTACATGCATAATACATCTGACCTATCAAGAATCCTACCTAACTAGAACCATTGAACCTTACCTTCATCAAGAACCATTGACATAGTTCACAAAAAGCACGGAAATTAATTTGGATGAAATAAATTTCAACAAGTTAGGAAAAATTACATATAAGCTAAGAAAAATTCAGATTTAATTAAAGAAATAATTCTAACGAGGTGTGGCGATCGTAACAGCTTGGACTTATTCTAGGTATCAATGAGATCTGCGTTGATGTGTAGGGAGTTGTAGATATACAATTAAGCTTCCGCGTCCCATACACAACCGAGATTTGTGATAGAAAATTAAGACTAAAGCTGTTGTGTTGAACGTCATCAGTGTTGATGCTCGTCTCAATGAATAGTTTAATAACCTGGCCGCACAAAACTCGTATGTACACTTAGCGGCCGATTTCTCGTCTGTGATTGGTGGATTTAGCATGAAAAGCCGTCCTTGATCAGCTATTGGAGTTACCGACTCCCAGGCATTATTAATTTTACGGCTATTGTACCCTTGCATTCTGCATAACCAAGTAATGAACCGAACGTACGTACTACTTTTTCTTCTTCAGTTAGGTTATAATGAGAGATCGCTGGTGGTACAAAGTGTTTCAAATATTGATGATTTTTCCCAAAAATACAGTTTCAAGAATATCAATGCTGGTCTATATATATAAGGCAGTTACCCAATTGAATTTGTCCGAGACTCGTATTTTAGGCCTCAAATTAGGCCGTTTCGTGTAGGTCAATGAGAACATGTAAGTTCTAAAGAATTAAAGCTACTGATTTTTTATGTTTGCATCTTTCACATGAGCGATTTTACCGAGACAATTACATATTAGGTTACTATTCAATAAAATAAACATGGGTATTTTTTGTTGTAAATGAGATGAGTAGCTAACTTCAATTTCTGCAGCGAAACTCTTATCTACGAAGCACTTGACCT